TCGGGTTTTGACCGCCGTATATAGGCTGCCTCCAGGTAGCGCACAGTACGATATGTTCGTTGTCCGAACACGTGCTAGAAAAGAAATTTTGCGGTCCGCAGTATGACTTCTATCTAGCAATAGTAATGGTAGTTCTATGTAGGGCTGTCTGCAGGATGAGTTCTATTTTCCTTTTTCAGTAGCCAACTATGCAAGTGCTCCCTCGATCTGGCTACAAGTTGCTGTCGTGTTAGTCCTACTTACTTGCATCCGTAATTGACTGTTAATTCGCCAACGCAATTTAAAGTGGTGTGCACCAGCACGGCATCCTTTGCACATGGAGAAGGAAAGGGGCTTTTGTATTGCAAAATATGTGTACAGCAGCAAAATATTTCATTTCATTTTATATTTCCTTTTACAGATTGATAGCATATGACATTCTATCGATATCGCCAAACGTTGTATTTGGCCCGATTCCGCCTCCATTTGCCCCATGTTTACTGACTTGAGCTGATCTCTTTAATCGTAAACACCGTTTTGCTTCTCAAGTCTGACCAAGGAGCAAAAAAACAACATAAAATGTCTGTTACATCCTCCACCCACATTTTGATCTTCACGAATCATCAGATATACACTCTGCAAATGGGTAGTGCGTAATTGTGCATCTATCTCTTTCAGGATGTAGCCATCCTGGTTGATGCCTTTTGCAACCTTGGCACCCCAAGTATATATGTTGTAAGGTGAAAAGTAATATTACTTATGACGTTTTAGTAAAGATATAGCGAATAAGTAAATGGCTAGAATAGCTTTTTTCCTTGCTTGTTTCGCCCTGCCTTTAACATCACGTGAGAAGTGGCATTTTAAATCTGGAGAGTTTTATGGTAAGGACTCAGCAGCTTCCGCATTAGCTCATAGTCAACCACAGGTACGCATGTCCTTGGCAAATATGTTTGTATTACCATATGGCGGAAAGTAATAATAGAGCATATGGACAAGCGCTAGCAAAATAATGCACTTATGGATGTTTTTATCTACTGACACTGGCACATGACGGACAATGCATTGAGAAATTGTTCTAAACATTCCACAACATGGACAGGTGTCCAAACACGCCGCCTGTCTAGGTACTTGCATTGTATTTTTTTCCATTAAGCATTATAATATTAATTTTACCATAATCAGTGGGTTCTGTGGCTGTGCTCTTCTTAACTGTGTCCTTGAATGACCTATGACATTTTAGTGACCGGTTAATTTGGTGCCCAAGTGAACGTTAGTCTACTTTTTATCTGGCGTAGTAGGGACCGCCAAATTAGTTAATCGGACAAGCTTGTTAAAGTTTCCTACCTTTGATTTGTCTTAAGAAAATGATGACACCTACGCTCATGAAAGTCCTTGACAGCCTCAATTTGCTCGTTCACTTAGATTTCAGAAAAAAGGCAGTGTACCTGTTATTTAACCTAGTTCTCAGTAGATGCATCATTTGTCCGTAGGGAAATTTTCCGTACATTAAGATACCTACCTTGCTCTACGCTGTTCTTGCAATACACTGTGCTTTTAGTAAACAGGTAGCCGCCCATATTACGAGGCAGGTTCAAAGTCCGATGTTGTTTTGCACAATACAGTAATTGGTCATATAGCTATATTTAGTGCAGCGAAATTACGATAAAGAATCCTAGGCATAAATATGTCGAGTTTGAACAATGTGGACAGATGTTCGTACATAACAAGGATGTCTAGAAACTCTTTCTTCACGCTACGTAAAGATTCGAGGGAAGAAGATACTTGGTTGGCTGATTTTTGGGCCCCACTGAAGACCAAACAGGAAGAAGAATCGATGGGGAACGGAAGCAAAGAGGGGATGAGTAGAAGACCAAGACGAATGATAGTGTTTTAATGGAAAGAGACCGAAAAGATAAACCTTAAGTGGAGAAGGGCGGAAGTAGTCAAAGGCAACCAGCCCTCCTCAACTGAATCAGGCACGGCACCATTTTGACCAAACGAATGCGAAACCTTGCATTCATAAACGCGTAAACCGCAGGATTGCAGACGGAGTAGGACTTGACAAAGACGATAGACACCTCGGCAAAGTGGGGTGTCAAGTTGGTGTGATAGCCGTTAACAGAGAGAAAAATCAATATAGCGTAGGGTAGCCATGTAATGAACAAGATGCTGATTGTAATAGCCGATGTATTTGCGGCTTAAATGTACGCTTTTTTATGGACTCCACCTGTATTCAATCCCAAAATATCCATAATTAGTACATATCAGCGCTAAAATAGATCTAAAAACTTTGAAGCGTCAACAGCTTTATCATCTGGAAAAACAAAATATTGTGCGGTACAAGTTTCTCGGTGGACAATAAAACCACCTTTTGATTTCACGCAATTGTAAAAAGAACCTCCTAATCATCAAATCACTGCCGGCATTATATGTCGTCTTCAGCATTGCGATTTTGTATTGTAGTTGTTGTAGCAACAATACATTGACAATGGTAGCGAAAAGGCTTCGAAAACGTTAGTTCACATTCACCGTGGTGTAGGATCTCACAATCTCTCTACTTCTTAGTCTGCGGTCATGATGAATGATCTTTTTGTATTAGTACATATACTCTATCTGGTTTAAATGAAGTGGCTCTGCCGGGTTTGCTCTCACTCGACGAACATTGGCAGAATCACAATTCTTGAAACGTCTCCAAATTTTCGAGGATCTCATGATAGACCCATCGAAATGATTATTTGTACAGAGCAGTTTATAGCCGATTTCAAGTAGTAGTAAATGAGCTCATTAGACAGAATGAATTAGGTACGTTAAAGGACGCCTATCACAAAAGCATAATATATGACTCCTGTCGTTGTAAAATGTGCAAGAAGACGCTATTTCTTACACTAGGCATCTGCCAAGCGAGCAGATTCCAACCTAAATGGCAGTTCTGTGCGACGTATTCACAAGTGACCCGCTGATCGCCTAGGAAAACTCATTTTCCACTTCCAGCAACATAATTACTCTCGACGTAACCGTCGCCAACACCGTATCATGCCCCTATTCAGCAGCAAGCATCTGTACTGCTTTGCAATCTTACCTGTTTTGGGAGGATCACCAAGTTTTAGGCAAGATACTGCCAAATTTATGCTAAGGAAAACGTATTGTTTGTGTAGCAGACATACCCTGAATTAGCTAGCTTTAGGAACCCTCACTTTCAATAATTTCGATATCATTGATACATTTCTTGCTACGGACAAATACGCCCCACCGTTTTGAAACCGGTATTAAATGTCCACAGTAAAAAGGAATTTAATAAATGGAGAAGAAGAAAACATTAAAAAAGGGGCACAGCACCCCATTTATCCCTATTTTCCCACACCTCCGGCCAAATAGACCCCAAGTTTTGAAAAAAATATTTTCAGAGAAAGAAGGAATTTAGTAAATGTGGAAGACACAAAGGCACGAAAGATTTACAAAGACCCTATTGAGACTTATTTTACATTCGACGACTATTGAATTGGAAACTAAAATTCTTCAACGGAATGTCAATTAGGCAATACATTTCTTGAAACAGCTATATTTTCCCCCAATATCAAACTCAATTATTCAGGGTAAGAAAAGGAATTTGATGAAAGGAGCGACAAAAAGCTCCATTTAGAAACCTTAACTTATCTGGGTTTTTCCAAATGTCTATTCTCTCGTTTAATTAAGTGATTATCTTTACAATCGCCATGAAACCTCTGGTGTAATGACATCTAGCTAAATCAGAAGCATCTGTATGTATTTTATAAATACGTTGATAACTTACATGGCTGCTTACCGTTGAATTTGCGTGGGACGGAAGCTCCTGGAAAGCCAGGTATTTGCCTAGCGTTTCTCTTGACAACCAGTACGATTTGAATGTAGCAG